TATTGGTAGTTTTTAAAATGTTATAAAATTGCAGGCAAAAATTGCATAATAAGTCATCTTGACCAGATGAAAAATTCATGAAGTTTTAATATTTATTTTAGATTGTTATATTTGCAAACTGAAAGTTCGAGTATGCAATAAATCATTTTAATAACATAAACATATCGAGAAAGTATTATTGCTTCACGACTGATAGTTTTAAAATAACTCAGGGCTTTTAAAACGTTTGCTATGTTGCTCCGCTTTCTCTATTTACTTTTTTACAAATAAAAAAAATTACTAAAATATCAAACAAAGTTTTACTATTTTAGAACAATTTTGCAAAGTTACATAATTTAATCATTCTTACTTATTCTTTTATAGCGTAAACCCAGTTTCTTTTAGGTATTTTGAGCTATTTTTATTAGTTACCATAGCAATAAGCAACCATTTTACATATCTTTTTTTGATCGCCAGTAATATATTTAGTATTTGAATCAATAAAAGTCAGTCAATTTGTGTCGTTTTAAAACATGAGGGTAGTTGTTCTTTAAAAAAACACACGCTTGTAAAATGTTCTAATGATAAGATCAGTACTATCTTCTTTTAGAAACCTTGCTTTTGTTTGTGAAAGCAATTTATGTTCTACGACAACAAATGTAAAATAAAAATAAAAATAGTATCGCCATGATGAAAAATTAAAGTTACCTTTTTATTAGATGCATTAAATCTATTCAGCAAACTGTTTTAAAAAATGAAATATTGTCAGAAAAATTTTTTGGCAGTATGATTGTACTATCATTAGAAAATACTAGGATACACGGTCGTTCAGACTTACTAAATAAGTGGAAAGTTATTATACGCAAGCGCAGTAAAGTTTGCATATTTTAAAAGTTTTAAAAATGGCTATTCTCATTGACAACGAGCTATTTTTCTAATTTTTAGCAATTAAATATGCATTGAGCCGTTTATTAAAAGGAAATTATAATGAAAGTAACTTCTAGTACACGATAAAATGTTTCAAATTAAATATAAAACCTCTAAAAACGAATAAAATGTAATTACAGCAATAGCTTTTTTAGTGTGTTTTGTTTATCGTTTTCAAATTGTTTTTAAAAAAATTTTGAGCGTAGAAATTTTTAAATTTTAACTTTTTCAGATAGATGAACTGTTGATCTTTCTTAGAATGTTTACTGATATTAGTATTCAATTTTTTTTCAAGATTAAAAGATATTTTTTTAACATTAACTTTTAGTAAGCTGTTGCTAGGCTACCCTATAATCACAATACATAATTACATTGATGTGAGTATATATATATATATATATATATATATATATATATATATATATATATATATATATATATATATATATATATATATATATATATATATATATATATATATATATATATATATATATATATATATATATATATATATATATATATGTAAAAGTTGATCATAATAAAAAGATAGCGTATAACCGTTTTTTAATATATTTAGATGTAAAAATATATATATATATATATATATATATATATATATATATAACAATAGTATATTTTAACTTTATATATATATATATATATATATATATATATATATATATATATATATATATATATATATTGTATGACAAGAAATGACTTTTAAGGATATATGTATATATATATATATATATATATATATATATATATATATATATATATATTTATGAATTTCAATACGTATGTATGTTAGACCCATGGAAGTCGGCCTAACATACAATTTTTAATATATTTACTTTTTATTTTTGTTAAAATCATTTCATACTTTAATACATTCGAATTTTAAAAGTTTTTTCCATTTCTAACTATTTATTGCTAAAATAATTAATAAAATACCTTAAAATATTTTTTTAGTATTTAAATGAGCTTGATCAAATCGAGGGGGCTGTTAATTTTATATAGTCATAACTTTTAGGCACAATAATACAAATAAATTAAATTGAAAAACTGAAGGTTTATTTAGTATTAGATAGAGAAACTAAGCATTTTATCAAGTCATTGTCATCATGTTTTGGCAGAGGCAGTTAGCTTGTAGGGGAATTTTGTTAACAATTCATGAAATTTTTTGCAAAACATTTAGAATTGACCAAAGCATGACCATAATTAAATTTAGTTGAAAAAAAAATTTTTTTAATGTATCTTGAAATTTCTAAGACAACTTCATGTTATTAGAGTAATAACATTCTAATGTTATTACTCAAGATTGTGAAAATTTATAATGATGACCTTGAGCTAATTTCATTATAAACTATTAATAAAAGCAGGTTGATTTGATTCAAATAAATAGAGATTTTTTGAGTCAAGTCTTGAATCACTTATTTAATATGATTCAAAATATTTAGGCTTAGCAGGGGCCTAATATATATATATATATATATATATATATATATATATATATATATATATATATATATATATATATACATATATATATATATATATATATATATATATATATATATATATATATATATATATATATATATATATATCCACGACATGATATTAAATTAGTTTTTTGAGGTAGGTAAGATTTTTTAGGCCTTAAATTAGAGCACACATTGTTTTTGTCACGATTTTTTTATAAAACATTAAATTAAAATCAACTAAATCGAAAACTAAATATCGAAAAATATCGAAAACTAAAAATCTATATGCATTATGAAAATCCAAAAAAAGATTTAAACATATTGATTTAGATACCAAAAAAAATAACAATAATTAAACATTTTACTTTAATTTAAAAAAACAATCGGACTAAAGTTAAGTATATATTTCAAATAATATATTAAAACAATAATTTACCAAAGAAAAACCATAAAAAAAGCATTTCAATATTTTGCAGATCCACCTTTCTTAAATAAGGATTGATGAAGGCAATTATCTAAAACTTCAATGTTTCTATCAGCATTAAGTCAACCTTAAAATAATTAATAGCATTTAAGTCCTGCATAATTCATGTAGGCCCAAAAGTCTACACTGCCATTACCTTGCTTGGTTGGTTTTCATGTACAATTCAAATCAAATTACTCTTGAGGTGATCGCCATAGCAGAACATGAAGCAATAATATATTTTTGCATATCTACCTCAACATTTATTTTGTCTGAGAATATAACAAAGCAAATCATCAAGCAAATTAATTTTATTAATTAAAAACGTTTATCTCATTAAGTAGCCCACCAGATTATCCAGATCCATAATGTCATCTATTTCAGTATAAGGTTTTCAAATATGTGAATATTCAATATTTAACTTATTTGACGAGGAGATAATACTTGGTTTTAAATAAAAATAGATTTGTAACATGTTTTTTCAGAGAATCTCAACCATGATTTTGGAGTTTCATGCTGCATTACTTCACTCGTTATGAGGTTTTTTCAATATCTAACTTCTTTGTGTTTTCATCAGTACTATTTTAAAATTAGAAATTTAGAGTTAATAAATGCTAATGAAAATCAAATTAAATTATTTAAAAAAATATTACATTAATTTTAAAAATAAAGCAGTAAGCATTAATTTTTAACGAACAAAAAAATTTTTTTAAATATAGTCGATTTTATAAAGTTACATATAATTAGGGATACAAATGAAATTTTATGGTAACAACTTGTCCATTAAATAAAAAACACGATACTTATTAATTAGAAATAATAAAATATTAGTTTTAAATAACTAGTTTTTAAAGTAATTTTAAGCAAACAGGATATATAAGTAAGAATGCTCTAATTAATGGCCAATGGTGTATGTATCATATATATATATATATATATATATATATATATATATATATATATATATATATATATATATATATATATATATATATATATATATATATATACATACACATTTATATACATATATATATATATATATATATATATATATATATATATATATATATATATATATATATATATATATATATATATATATATATATATATATATACTGTATTGTATTACATAGTATGCTATGCTTGGACATATATTATTATTTTTAATATTTTATTATTTTTCAGAGTTTGATTTGTATGCATTAATTGTGTTTGCATACAATTGTTGTAATCGTGTTGTAATATAATATGCACACAAATTTATTAGATACAATATATAGTTAAATGATTTATTGTATATAATATATAGTTAAATGATTATGATATATTATAAAAACTATATTTTATAGTTTATATTACCTATATTATAAAAACAAATATAAATTAAATGCTATATAAACTATGTAACATAATACATTTATATTTAACTTATATATAAATATTTTATCTTACATACTTTATAAGTAACTTGTGAACTTATTAGCCTTTTTTTTTTTGCATTTATAGTATAGTCATTCACATATAATTATATATTATAATTTATATTATAATCATTCACATATAATTATATATATATATATATATATATATATATATATATATATATATATATATATATATATATATATATATATATATATTAGCTATATACCTTAATATAAATGTATTATACATCTACAAAAGTAGTGTTGGGTGAATTCTATTTTTGTTTAGAAAAAAATTGAATACTCAGATCTGAAAACAATTTCAAATCAAGATAAGACTATTCGAAATATAAAAGTAAAAATTATTAAATTCTATCGCTCAGATTTTTAGAAAAACAGTTTTGAAAATGTAAACAAATCACGCTTTTAACAGTCAGATAAATGTAGCAGAGAATCACAGTTTTTTTATATATTTAAACATCTTTATATTGTTTTTATCATTTTTGAATCAACAATTCAATTATCTTTATTATTATTTCATTCTATCAAAAATATGCAAATGATAACTACTAAGTAAAACTTTAAAAATATTGTTGCTACTTGGAAAAAATTTTGGTATCTAAAGGCCGTCACCATCTTTAAAGGTAAGTACATGATTCCATAGCGTAAAGTTAGGTCCCGTAAAATGTTCCGCAATTGTCCCGCTTCATGTCCAGGACAGAGTTAACATAATTAATTTTTGCATTTATAATTTAATTTATGAAATAATTAATATTCTTTAAATGTGGAGCACGTTTTCACCTGGTTATCGTCGAAGATTAAATTTAAATTGGTAAAAAAATTGTTATTAGAGATAATGATAATTTAAATTTATTAGAAAAAACCACATTGAGTAGAGGTAATACAAGACATTTTAACTTTTCTAGACAAAATATTTTAAATTTTGAATATAAAAAGCTTATGTTGATGTTTATTTTACTACTCGTTTAAAAACATTTCTCAGGAATGACACTCCTGAGAAATTTAAAAATTTAAAAACATGTTTTTAAACGAGTAATAAAATATAAGCTTTTTATATTCATAATTTAAAATATTTTGTCTAAAAAGGAATTTTCTTTACAAGCACGCTTTAAATGAAGTATCAATTTCCACGTTTGTATGTTTGTTACTGTTTAAATTTTTTTAGTTGTTATTTCTCAAGAAGGAAGTTGGGTTACTGTAGAAACATACGTTGAAGTACTTTTTTTGATACATAGCTACGAAACAGAGGCTGTATCAAAGTTTTCATGCTATAGTGCTGCTAAAAACTATGGAAATATGGGTATGACAATTTTAATTAAGTGTTTTTAAAATGCAATTGCTAAATTTTAATTTTCTTTTATATTCGTATAGTTATTATTGAAAATATAATTGTTGTTGTTATCTTTAAAGATTCTTCTGCAAAACACATCAAAATAAGATGATTCAATATCATTTAATGGGACTCCCTTTATGGTTTTAGGATGTAAATTGCTTGGTTGTATGCACGGGAATGATAGAAAAGCCTCTTCTAAAGAAGTTTATAAAATTCATTTATTATTATAATATGTTTTTCTTTATCAATTTGTTTCCAAAATAGCTCCTGTATTTAATGATTATATGTCTAAACCTTTTATTTTTGTTCTTTTGTCTAATTTTCTTAATAGGTATCAGATCACAGTTTTTCAAAAAGCTATTTGCTATATTTTAATTTCTTGGTCACCAAGAAATTTAACTGTAGTTTTCAAATAAAAATTTAGAAAGTTTAAAAGTTCCCAAGTTTTAAGGTTTTATTTCTTTGTTTGTTTAATTTATATTATTGAAATGAGATTTAAGTCAGTCCTATATTAACTATTCAAGACATACATGCATCAACTTAAAATATAACCAATTAATTTATGCTAATTCTTTTTAAAATAAACTTTGTTTTAGATAGCTGAGGATGCTAAATTTAGAACAGTGCAATTCTCAAACAGTATTAAAGATGCTTTGTCAAGAAATAAAGTAGTAAGGGAAAGAGTGTTTTCAGTTTGCTTTCCTTCAAAAAGTTCTCATTTTGGTCATTTTACTAGAGATGTAAGATTTCTTTTTTCTTTTTTGTGTAGATAAAGTTAAACAATAGATTTTAAAAGAAAAAAAACATTAAAGACTTATCCAAATTAATTTTCATTTCTTGTTTGCCTTTTTTAAAAATCTTAAAGTTAGTTTATTATTTCAAACATGTTATTTAACTTGTTTTGTCATATAACATTTATTAAATTTTAACATTTATATTAATGTTTCCATTTATTTAAACCAACAACGATAAGGTTGTAGTAAATCTTAATTGCTATTTTTATTGCTGTTGTTTAGGAACTTTAGATATAATATTGTTTAAAATATGTATAAACTTTCTTGTGTTCAGTATATTAAGTATATCATATTTAGTATCTTGATCCAGATTACTTAAGGCCTTAAATTTAAATGTCTGCTCCTACTGATGGTTTTGTTGTATAGTTTATATAGTTTATATAGTTGTTATATAGTTTATATGGTTTTGTTATAAAGTATGTTCTTGTACTATTTCTAATATATGTAATATTGTTCATACAAACTTCAATATTTTTACAAAGGGTGGGTTTTGTCACTCACCAAGGAGGTGGCTAAAATGGTTTTTTAAAAAAAAGGTCTGCATTTTTTCACTTAAAAGTGACTTTCTTTTTTAACTTTTTGTACTTTAGTGTAATAATCAAGTTCATATATGTATAATTACCTATAATAGTCAATCCCAATGGGGGGGGGGGGGCAACTACCCCCATGCCCACCCTAAAACTTACCACTGATTTTCACATTCTGCTGAAGCTATTAAGTGTATCAATGAAGAGAACTAATCTATCAATCATTTTTACAAGCAATCAATAAAATATCTCATTGGAAGTAGGAAGAAGGAAGCTTGTACTATTGTAAAATAAAATGATATCTGTTTCTGTATCATTATATATATTAAAGTGTACTTTATTTTAGATCAAATTGCATGATTTCACATTTATCCTTATTAAAACTGATTAGCCTTTTTTTTTTTCCAGTTAAATAAGATGTTAAGATCAAACTGTGTAGAGTGATTTATTATTATTTATTTTTTTTCTAATTGAGTTATTTTCTAAATTTTCAAAATAATTTCAAAAATTTCAAATACTTCTTGGAATATGCATCTTAAATATGGAATTCATATTTTAATAAAGATATAAATTTTATCGAAAAAGTCCAACAAAAAGCCGCAAAAATTGGCTACTAAAGAAAGGGAGCAAGTTACGAGCAAAGATTAAAAGAAATGGGCTTACAAAATCTATCAAATAGAAGAGAAAACAGCGATCTCATTAAAATGTTTGAACTTATAAACAACCATGATATTATCAGTTAGAACTGCATTCCACAAGTATTGGGTAGGTTTACAGAGGCCGCAATCAAAGGTCGAGAAGACATCTTATTAAAAACTTTTTGTTGAGACCAATTTTTTTACAAACCATATACAGTGGGTTGCCAAATTATTTGGGACACTTCACTTTTTAAGTAATTTTAAAGTTTAAATGATTTTTGCAAGCAAATAAATTTTTTTAAATAAAAAGTTTTGAGTGTATTATAGTCACTAATATAACTATAGTTGTTTTTAAACTGTGGCAATTTGTGATAACCCAATCTGTCTAAAAGTTAGGTTATTACTCAATTAGCTGTCAATTTTTGAAAAGTGTGGTTGAAAGTCAAAAATTCAAAATTGATTTCAGTTACTTATTTTTGGAACAATTTTTTGCAAGTTTTTTGAGTTTAAAACTATTGAAATCTAAATATTCGTTAATAGTTCAATTAGCTTAGTTATTAATTTAGTATTTTTGCTGCTTTTAATGCATAAATCCCTGACATACAACTATTCTTACCTCTCGTTAATTTTTTTAGTCTCCAGACTGAACCCCCCAAAAAAACAGAAAAGTAAAAACCTTATTTCTTCATTCTACACATTCTCAGAGAGAGGTTGCGAGCGTTTAAAAGTCAGTAGTGAGTCGAGTTTAAAAAAAAAATGATACAAATGTGACTCTAGAACCAGACCATGTCAGCAAAAGTGGCAGGAAAGGATCACTACCTCATGTTATGACTGTAAATTTAAAGACATCTATCTTGAAAACAGAAAAAAAAGTGTGACTCAACTAGCTATAATTATAAACAATGAAGGAATTAACGTCTCCAAAAGGATGGTTCAGGGACGGTTGGTTAAAGAGAATTTAGTGTGTTACCGTCCAACCAAAAAAAGAATGTTTAACTGAAGCCATGAAAAAAAAGCGACTGGAATGGGCTAGAAAACACCAGAATATGAATATTGAAGACTGGAGTAGAGTAAATATAATTTATAATATTGTAAGAAACCAGAAAAATTTAAGGATAAATATTTATTTTTGAAATATCTTTGAAATATTTTGCAGGTCAAATATCTTTGAAATGTTTTACAGGTCTGCTTCTCGGACCAATCAGCATTTCAAATTTTGATGGACAAAAGCTCATTTGTTCGACGATGCTCAGAAAAAAAATTCACTAGGACTGCCTTTTGGAAAAGGTTCAACATCCTGTGAGTGTAGGGGTGTGGTCTGTGATCTCAGCCAAGGGTATGGGCTGCCTTTACATTGTGGAAGAAACCATGAAGCAGGATTGGTCCTGCTATATGGTACCTTCCTACAAGCAATTACTGGAAAACAGGCTCCTGCTCCAGGTCTAAGAATGGTTCCCTGGTAATGAAGAGTATATGTTCATGCATGACTCAGCACCGTCCCATAAAGCTAGAAGTGTTACAGCATTCCTAACTGAAAAAAAAGTGCATGTTTTGCCATGGCCAGGGAATTCATCTGATATTAACCCTATAGAAAATTTATGACAGTTCATAAACAGAAAATTGCCAAAAAAAATTATCACTACTAAGCAGCAATTGATAGAAACCCTTATAAGAGAGTGGAATAGCAACCTCAGTCTCCAACACAATGCAGAAGTCTACATAGATAGCATGCCCAGATGCCTGAAAGCTGTTATTGTAGCTAAGGGTGGCATTACAAAATATTAAGATTATTACCTTATTTGTCGTGTTTTCAAACTTTTTATAAAAAAATAAATAGCAATGAATAGGTAATTATGTTGTTTTATATTCTAAATAAAACTCTCTACCAATAAAAACAATAAAAAAAATAACAATAAGATACATATTTATTCATTAAAGTAGTTTGTACTTTAAAATCACTTAAAAAGTAAAGTGTCCCTAATAATTTGGCAACCCACTGTAGTTAAAAAGTGTAATTGTTTGCATAGAAAAGTTGTCAATGCCATTTCAGTAATTGATTTCAAGAAAAAGTTTAAAGAATTTAGCTTTGATGAATTCGTTGATGATTTTTCAAGATTTTTTTTGTATTACTTTGTTGTGATATCTTTCTACCATTAGCATCTATCTACCTTTTGATATCCATCTATCTTTTAGAGATTATTGCCTTAAAAGAATTATTTCAAAATAATGTGTGTCCAATAAGATCAAATAAAAAGTTCTTCCTATCAAATAAAATTATTTGTAATTATATGCTTTTGGTGTCTAATTATATAAGTTGTACACCAAAAAAGTCTTGTGTGTTCTTTTAACAAGTGGCTGCAAATGTTTATAATGTATTTGTTACATTTAGAGTTGACACATTTTTGTTATTTTAAATTTGTTTATAATGTATTTGTTACATTCAGAGTTGACACATTTTTGTTATTTTAAACTTCTAATAACTGTTAAGTTATTAGAAAATAAAGAATAGAGTTAAAGAGTAACAATTCGGTTGACACAAGACTTAAAAATTTGTAGGCTGTATGAGTTAGAAAAACATGATTACAGGAGAAAGTTCCAAAGGGTTCAATTAAGGGGAAAAAACTAAACAAATAAAAATTTTTATGGCATACAGGGACAGATACAGTAAAGAGGTGAGACTTTGCTAAATGACGAGTCAAGCAAAAATGAGTTTATGGAACTAGAGATAAAAGCTCCTTTAAGTAGGGACCATGTTAGTATTTGTAGAATAGAGATGCAACTTGACGACGTTGAAAGAGAGGCTCTAGTTTGACAGATAGAGCAGGTACTACACAACTACATTTACAATGCATATTTGGACCTTATCTTGAGAAATAAGAGCATCATTGGAAGAACCAGTCTAAATATGACAACATTATTCCAAACAGGGGCAAAAAAGAGATTAGCAGAGGTAAAAATGAAATCGGGAGTAAGAAAATGGCAAGCACGATAAAAAGAAGCAACTTTAGCAGCTGCTTTTTGATTTGCATTTGCATTTAGCAATCAATTGTATTTATGGTTTCCATGAAGGGTCATAAGTGAATGATAATCCGACAAGAGGACTCAGTGAAGGGTTTGCTATTTATCAATATAGGAATGTCAACAGTATTGCTATTTGTATAATATAGTTATTTGTAGTAAATAACTAAGTTTGGTTGAAGTAAATAACTAAGTTTGGTTGTAGTAAATAACTAAGTTTGGTTGAAGTTAAAATTCACAAGCCACGCAAGCCTCAATCTGTTACAGAGGTTAGATCAGATTCAAGATTGAATTTTTGTCAAGGTAGTAGTATAAAGTTGAGTCATCAGCGAATAGAGCCACTTTAGATGTAAGGTTGCCAGGAAGATCACTAATATAGATAAGAAACAAAACAGGATTAAGGATAAAACCTTGAGATACCGCAGAAGTTACTGGAAATGAAGAAGAGTGTTGGCATTTAAGGATGACTTTAAATAAGTGGTTCAAATATTTATGATTTTTATAAAAACTGGAGTATATAATTGTATCATCAGCAAATTGAGCAATTAAACCACTTAAGAGGTAAGATTGTTACATAAGATCAATACATTAATATAGAAAAAAACTCCCTTTGGTGTGACCTATATGGACAATATTAGGAGATAACGAGAAAGAGTTTCAAATTAAGGCTTTTTAAATTGTTTTTATTGTAGGCTTATTCTCACTCTCTTTTTATTCGTAAGCCCTAATAAAACCTAATGATCTGCTTTTGAGCACTATCAATGGGAATATTATAACTGTACAAAGTTATTGGCTTTTTTTTAGGATACTTATTACTTAAGTCAGGGATTATCTTTTTCGGGATGTTTCCGGAA